TACTTGTCCCTTTACAGCTATGGAGTCCGAAACAGTCTTCTACTCGCACCAATGCCCACGGCTTCCACGGCCCAAATTTTGGGTAACACCGAGTCTACTGAACCTGCTACGAGCAACGTCTTCACTCGCAGAGTCCTCAGTGGCGAGTTCCAGATTGTCAACCAGTACCTTCTGCATGATTTGATTGACCTAGATTTGTGGTCTGAAGACCTCAAAGCCGCCATTGTTGCTAATCAAGGATCTATCCAGCACATCGAGGGTATTCCTAATGATCTCAAAGCCTTGTACAAGACAGTCTGGGAGTTGTCTCAGAAGAAAATTATTGATCTGGCGGCCGAGCGTGCACCCTTCATCGACCAAAGTCAGTCGCTGAATCTGCACATGGCTCAACCAAACTACGGGAAGATCACAAGCATGCACTTCTATGCTTGGAATAAGGTAACTGATGGCATGTTAGTACGGTTTTAATGACGCTACGTGCTCACTCAGGACTGCCCACTTACCTGCAAATTTGCGTTTTAGGGTTTGAAGACCGGCATGTACTACCTACGAACGCGGCCAGCGGCGGACCCCATTCAATTCACCATAAATAACAAGGAGATCAGTGCAATACTAGCCAACGGTTTCCGTAAATCAATTTCACTCCCCAAGATGCCCGAAGAGAATGACGAAAACAAAGCTCCTGAAGAGGCGTACATTGCGAAGATCTATAAGAAGAACCTCGAAGCTATATCCTGCAGCCTCAACAACCCAGAAGGGTGTGTTAGTTGCTCCGGATAAAAAGGACTTAAGCCCAACTGCCTTAACCTATTTTAACTATCATTATCACCTTCAGATTGATTTTGTATCATTTGTAAATCCAGAGCGCTGGTATGTGATTGTTTTATGCCCTTGTAAAATATATGTATACTTATATATCCCTGGTTCGCGCGCCTTCGTCAACATTAGGGCTAGCCTCTGACCCACGGTGGCGTCTTGTGTGTGGAATAAAGCGGGCTTCCGATACAGCTTCCTCATACTGTTTAACGTCTCGGACGTATGCTCAGAGTTAAGGTGGTACAAGACCGTATGGGATAGGGAACGAGTAATCAACGAGGTTCTGGCGGGGTGTGCGGCAGGGAGATTCAGGTTGTATGAGCCGTTAGCATCTTCATCGTGTTCACACTCACCAGGTGACGGACACAGCAGGCTAAAGCACTTTGCTTCATAAGCGTCCAACCTCGCCTCCGCTTCCTCTGAGTGTGTTGTGACAACGGGGGTGGGAAGCGTGTAGTAGAGCGCAGCCTAAAACTGATTCGCGCAAATCGCTGCGTTTACCTTCAGCCTGCTGAGGCTTGCGGTGGACATCCTGGAGACCGACGGTCGGACTGCCGTTTAGTAGGCTTTGGCTTCTGCGTGAGGTTAAACTGGTAGGAATAAGGGAAAACCCCTTAACGTTGGAATTAGATCTCACTTGTCAGGATTGGAACCACTTTATAAATCTGGGGTTGCGTCCGCCCTTGTTTCATCCATTACTTTATCTTGTGAATTCTTTAGGGAATTATTACAACGTCAGATTTAGAGGGGGAGAGATGTTCGGTTTCAGCTTTCGGATTTTGTAACGGAGACTCTTCTTAAAGAATGTCGATGGAGCGGATCCGACTTTGGTAGCGCCAGGACAGACAAAAAGTAAAAAAACGATACCTTAATAAGTTGTAGGCTAAGAGTGTGTTTTCAGGACAGACTGCAGGATTTTGAGTAGAGGAGAAATAACTCTGCTTTGAGCGTATTTATGTCTGGTATTTTTACTAAAAATGCGATAAACCGTGACTCCTCCGCCACCT